TTTACGTTTGTTCTTGCATGACCTTCTTGAATGGGTACCCAGGTCCATGTTTTGAACTCATGGCATGAAAACTCAGATTTTTGTAACAAGTTGTGAACTTGCATCCATCTTCCAAATGATCATGTTCTTCATATTCTTCAAAGGGAAACCCAGGTTTTCCCGGCTTTGTTTTGATGAAGCCCTCGGGACCACACCTCAGCAAGGAAGTGTGGGACCTCGGCAAGGACCTGGTTGATACCCAGTGTGTTTTCATGGGACGGGAGCAGTGTTTAGACTCCCAGCATGTTTTGCTTTGTTTGACTTGGATCTGGTAAGAATGCTGAGATCATTCGCATGTGTATATAAAACTTGTTTTGAGAATGTGATTGCCATGTGATTGTAGGACCTTGATCCTTGCTTTGAGCCTACACCTGAAGAACTAGGTGAGTGGTATTTTTGATAAAGCTATGTTACACTCGTTTTGATAAATCTTGCTTTGTTTTGTTTTGACGAAAGTATTTGTTAAGCATGAATGAATAGCCCTGTTTTGACGTATCAAGTATAAGCTTTGTTTAGATGTCATCCTTGAAAAATCCCTTGCGCTGGAGGACTCTAAACTTTCGCAGCACTAAGTATAAAAGGATATGGTCCTTTCTTGGAAAGACTATAAATGTTAAATCGGGCTACGGGCTTAAGTAACACAAGTTCCATAATGTTAAATCGGGCTACGGGCCTAAGTAACACAAGTCCCTTGTGCTGGAGGACTATAAACTTTCGCAGTACCTTTGATTAAACGATTACGGATCGTACAGTCCTTGTTTTGCCACTGACGGTTTACCGCGTGGACTTGCTTGTTTTGATAAGCTTGATGTGTTTTGCCGATGTCAGTAAGCATCCCTTGAGATTTGTAAGACTTGATAGATGAATACGGTTCATCCCTTGTTTGATAAAGATTTGACGTGTTTTGTCCTGTAAGGATCTCGGCTATATTCGTGCAAAAACCTTTATTTCTAGTACCATTTACTGAGTATTCAAGCTCACCCTCTCTATATATATGTAGGTGATGAGTAGGACGTCGGCGACGCCTAGAATGTGTTTCGAAAGCTTGTTTTGGATCCATGATATTGTCGGCGTTATTTTGCATTCACATCGGCAATGTCATTTTCATTTACGTCGGCAAATCTTGAAAATTATGCTTCTTGGCTTGTATTCACTGTATTTTTTTGTGTATGTCGGCTCGAGAAGCCTTTTGATCAAGATGTAATACGTATTTTGCTTGGTTGTATTCAAGTTTGTAAAGTTGTAAAGATGTATGCCATTACATTGGATCTATGCACTGCTCTTATGGACCACTTGATTGTTGATTTATTTCTTCCGCATTTGAGAGCCCCGTTTATTATACTCTGATCTTGTTTAACTTTTGGAAGTTGGCCTTCGGTAATTACGGATTACTGGCCATCACGGCACCAAACTACTAGGGGCGGTTTGGGGTCGTGACAGAAGGCTGATGTTCTCTGGGGATATAGAGCCGATGAAGGCTGAGGCATGGGTTTTGGAAATGGAAAAGTTGTTCGAGATCTTTCCTAGCACCGACGCTCAGAAGGTGACGTTGGCAGCTTTCACCTTAGATGATGACGCTCGCAGATGGTGGATGATGGTTCGAGGAAGCAATCCAAATCTGACCTGGACCCGATTCTTAGAGTTGTTCTACAACAAGCACTTTCCAGTAAGCGTTCGAAACCGCAAGGCTACCGAATTTCATACTTTGACGCAAGGCAACCAAACAGTGGCAGAATACGACCGCGCTTTTACTGAATTGGCGAGGTTTGTACCTCACATGGCCAACGATGAATACATGAAGGCCAGGAAATTCGAGTGTGGGCTTCGTGGACCGATTCAAGACCGAGTAAATTTACACAATATGCCGACTTATGCCGAAGTGTTGGACAAGGCTATTTAGGCCGAAGCTAACCTGAATCGATACCAGAGCTCGGGAGAGAATCAGCGAAAAAGGCAGAACTATGACAACCGCCGAGGACAGCTGGGCACCAAGAGGAGAACGAATATGGGCAGTACTGGTAACCTAAGACAGGAGGGTAATGCTAAACCGATGTGTTCGAATTATGGGAAGCTGCATTTCGGGGTCTGTCGACGGACGTCTGGAGCTTGTTATGAATGTGGCGAAATGGGTCATTATGTGAGAGATTGCCCCAAGACGAAGGCTGATAACAACAAGAAAGGTGAAGATACCTCGAACTCCGCTCAGAAGGGGAATGCTGGGAAAGGACAGATGAGACAGGGCAGAGTATTTGCGTTAGTACCAGGAGACACTCAGAATGCTGAGGCAGTGGTGTCAGGTATAGTGTCAGGTATACTCCTAATTTGCTCCCAAGATGCCTATGTGTTGGTTGATTCGGGTTCTACGCATTCATTTGTATCTGCTAAATTTGCCGAGAAAATTAATAGAGAACTAGAGCCCCTTGATTATGTATTATCTGTGTCTACTCCATCTGGGAGACCTATGATTGTTGTGTCCATTTACAGAGCGTGTGTTGTTGTGATTGAGAATGTTGAACTGTTAGTAGATTTAATGCCTCTGGATATGATTCATTTTGATGTTATACTGGGAATGGATTGGTTGGCCGCAAATCATGCATCTATTAATTGTGTTTCGAAAAGTGTCACATTGAGACCCTCAAACCTAGCCGAGGTTATTTTCTAGGGTAAAGGGATAGTGCCCCCACCTTACTTGATTTCGTCCATTAAGGCCTGTAAATTAATTCAGAAGGGGTGTCGAGGCTACCTGTGTAGTATACTGCGTGATCAGGATGGAAATGTTAATTTAGCCGACATCCCGGTCGTTAGTGAATTTTCCGACATCTTCCCAAACGAATTGCCTGGCCACATAACCGATAGAGAAATAGAGTTTACAGTTGACATCATGTCGGGAACACAGCCGATCTCCAAAACACCTTATAGGATGGCCCCAGCTGAACTTAGAGAATTGAAACTGCAATTACAAGAATTGTTGGATAAGGGATTTATTAGGCCGAGCACTTCACCATGGGGAGTACCTGTTTTATTTGTTAAGAAAAAGGATGGCACACTTCGTCTTTGCATCGATTATAGAGAACTTAATAAAGTCACTATCAAGAACAAGTACCCATTACCTAGAATTGATGATCTGCTTGACCAATTACAAGGAGCACGAGTCTTTTCCAAGATCGACCTTAGGTCTGGTTACCATCAGCTTAAAGTTAAAGCCGAAGATGTTGAGAAGATTGCTTTTCGGACAAGATATGGCCACTACGAGTTTTTAGTAATGCCTTTTGGAGTGACCAATGCCCCTGCTGCATTTATGGATTTAATGAACAGAGTCTTCAAGCCATATTTAGATGAGTTTGTAGTTGTCTTCATTGATGATATACTAATCTATTCCAAGAGTACAACTGAACATGAAAACCATTTGAGACTTGCCTTACAGATTCTGAGAAAACGGAAATTGAATGCTAAGTTTAACAAGTGTCAATTTTGGCTTTCTACTATCTCGTTTTTGGGTCATGTGATTAGTGAAAAGGGTATCTCGGTTGATCTTAGCAAAATTGAAGCCGTAGTAAATTGGCCGAGGCCGACTAATGTATCCGAGATTCGTAGTTTTCTGGGTTTGGCAGGTTATTACAGAAAGTTTGTGAAAGATTTCTCAAAGATTGCAATTCCATTGACGCAACTGACTAAGAAGGGAACACTATATGAATGGACTAAAGATCGGGAGTCAGCCTTCTAGGAACTGAAGACGAGGTTAGTTACAGCACCAGTACTCGTACTTCCATCAAGTAATGGAGAGTTTCATGTCTATAGTGATGCATCGCATAAGGGTTTGGGTTGTGTGTTAATGCAAGGGGGTAAGGTTATAGCTTATGCATCTCGCCAGTTGAAACCCCACGAGAAGAACTATCCTACCCATGATTTAGAATTAGCGGCCGTGGTATTTGCTTTGAAGATTTGGCGTCATTATTTGTATGGAGCCTCTTGTCAGGTGTTTACAGATCATAAAAGTTTAAAGTACCTGTTCACTCAGAAGAAATTGAATTTGAGACAGAGAAGGTGGCTTGAGTTGTTGAAAGACTATGATATGCAAATTCAATATCACCCTGGTAAAGCTAACGGTGTAGCCGACGCTCTGAGCAGAAAGTCAGATGGAAATTTGGCGTGTTTGACCATGATAGCAGTAGAGCCGACTATTGTTGATGAGGTAAAGACAAGACAGATGGAGGATAAATTCTTCAAGAAAGTAGCCGAGGAGATTGTTACAAAGCCGAGATCAGGTTATACCATCGAGAATCAAGTGCTTAAGTTTGAAAGAAGGTTATGTGTGGCCGACATCCCAGAGTTGAAAAGGAAAATTTTGCAGGAAGCTCACGGTTCTAAGTTTGCTGTTCATCCAGGGAACACCAAAATGTATCAAGATGTGAAGCAGGCCTTCTGGTGGCCAAACATGAAAAGAGAGATAGCCGAATTCGTGTCCCAGTGTTTACATTGTCAACAAGTGAAGGTAGAACATCAAAGACCGGCAGGACTTCTTCAACCTTTGCCGATTCCTGAGTGGAAATGGGAACACATCTCCATGGATTTCGTGACTGGTTTACCGAAGACACCGAGAGGTATGGATTCGATTTGGGTTGTTATTGATAGATTAACTAAGTTAGCACACTTTTTACCTGTTAAGACTACCTTCAACGCCGATCAACTTGCCTCGTTATATGTGAACGAGATTGTCAGACTTCATGGAGTACCGATATCAATTGTGTCAGACCGAGACCCTAAATTTGTTTCTAGATTTTGGCAGAGTTTACAGAGGGCTTTCGGAGCCGAGCTGAGATTTAGTACAGCTTTTCATCCCTAGACAGATACATATAATTGATCATTCTGGGATTACGGTTAATGAGGATTTGGGCTACGAGGAGAAGCCAATGAGGATTATTGACAGACAAGTGAGGCAGTTGAGAAACAAGTCGATACCAATGGTAAAGGTGGAATGGAAAGAGCATCACGGCAAGGATGCCACTTGGGAAATGGAAGATGAGATGAGAACTCGACACCCAGAATTGTTCCTGGAACAAGGTAATTTAAGTTTGGGGACCAAACTTCTTTAAGGGGGGTAGACTGTAGCAACCCTCACCTTACTCTTGTCATACTTGCATACATTCATGTATGATCTTGTCTTGATATGTTATTTTGCTAGTTTTGCCTTGCCTTGTTTTGGCTAAGTATTGCTTGCATGATTTTGTTCTTTGCTCGGCGTGTAGCCGAGGTCATCTTGAGATTTGATCCACTCTGAGCCTTTGTACTTTGAATGTTATGGAACCGCTTGGTCCATACCATCTTCACCTCGGGCATTATTGCCGAGATGTTTTGCACATTAGTGAACCTTGTCCGCAGGCAGGTATGGCCTAGGCCGAGATGTGGCACACCCCAGCCAAGGTGTGGCACAGCTTAGTCAAGTGTCGTCCTCCCTAGCCGATGTCTTTGTTAACCTATTACCGGATCCTTGATTTGAGCCGATGTCATTACTTGCCGATGTGTCTTACCCAGCTTGCTGCGTACGCTTTGTCAGAGACTTGTCTTATCTATCAATCACCTTTTTGAGTTGAGCCAACCCGGTAGCGCCACGTGTCCGAGCTGATTGTTAAGACAGCCGGCAGACCTAGTGTAGGAACCTATGTTTTTACGTCTTAACCGTGTTCATGAGCATCTGTATGAATGTGGCTTGTTAAGCTTGCATGTGTATGTTTGTAACTTGTTCTGCTTAAGTGGGTAAGATCCATGCCTTGTTTTGATGCCTTGTGATTTGCCTAAGTTATGATTAGCCGATGTTATGCCAAGCCTAGGTTACGTTACGCCTAGACCATTCCGAGCCGAGGTCATCCTCAGCCTAGAAGTATCTTGGAACCCCTTTGTTGACCTCCATCCTTGCTTTGACGCATTGGCCGAGATGTTACCTTTACACCCAAGTGATCTCGTCCTGGAGTGGTATGACCTAGACCGAGGTGTGGCACATCTAGGCCAAGATGTGGCACAGCTTAGTCAAGTGTTGTCCTTTCTAGCCGAGGTCATTGTCACCCTTGCCGGAGTGCCCTTCCATGTAGCTTGTTAGATACGCCTTATTGTTAGCCGATGTCATTGCCTCGTCAGAGAGCCCATACCGCTTTACTTGTTGAACACCCTTTCGCCATGCCTTGTCTGGTCTGTTAGCCACCTTTTCAGGGAAAACCCAACCAGTCGCCGCCACGTGTCCCCGCAGAGGGTTAACCCCAGGACCGTGTAAGGGAACCTATCATTTGGTATCATAACCTTGCCTTTTAGAGAGAGAGACGCTCTGGGAGGAAGAAGAAGTTTTAGAGTGAGAAAGTAAATCTTCGAGCTTGATTCCTTGAGATCAAACCGTTAGATCCGTGTTCTAAGGTTAGATTCTCAATCCGCTCTTGTTGTTCTATATGACTATGTTATTGCATTGCATGATTGAAAATGATTTGTAAGCCATGCATCGACTTAAAGTTTGGTTTTTAGAAAGAGAAAATAGTGCTCATGTGTTCTTGAAGAAAAGTCTTGTTTTGATCCAGAAGCTTGCATAGAGAATCATGTTTTTGTGTTTATTTCCACAAGAACTTCAAGTATGGGTACCCAGGTCCATGTTTTCAAACTCGTGGTATGAAAATCCCAGATTTTGTAATGACGGGTTGTAAATGAGCATTCATATTCTTCATGTTTTCGTACTCATGTTCTTCATGTTCATCAGCAGAGGGAAACCCAGAGTTTCCCGACCCCTTTTTCCTTGCATGTGGCCCTCGGGAACACACCTCGGCAAGGAGGTGTGGAACCTCGGCCTAGACCTGGTTAGTGCCCAGCATGTTTTCCGAAGATCATTGGTATACATATGAAACTTGTTTGAAAGTGCATTCAATAGGCTTTGCCATGTGTTGTAGGACTTGGGCTTG